ACCAATTTTGCCAGCAGCATTTGCTGAATATGCTGCCTTTCCTCCAGTGAATATTCTTGGCCCCTTTGTCAAATATGAGGTGCTGAAATTGCATTTACTCATATTTGGGTCTTCAATTTTGTTCCATTGATCTATGGGTCTATTTTTGTGCCAGTACCATGATGTTTTTATGGCTATAGTTTTGTAATACAGTAGCTTAAAATCTGGTATAGTAATCCCCCTGGCCTTGCTCTTAGTGCTCAGGGTTGTTTTGGCTACCCAAGGTCTTCCACATGAATCTTAGGATTTTTTTTTGAATTCTGTGAAAAATGTCATGGAGATTTTAATTGGCATTGCATTGAATCTATAAATGACTCTTGGTAGGATGGTCATTTCAACAATATTAATTCTTCCAATCCATAAGCATGGGAGGTCCTTCCACCATCTTGTAGAGCTTTTAAATATCTTTGGTCAGGTTTATTCTGAGATTTCTTCTTTTTTTTTTTTTTTTTTTTTTTTTTTTTTTTTAATATACAGTATCTTCAGCAACAGGGTCTTATCCTGAGTTTCTTGTGGGTAATCAAGAGCAGGTGCAATGGCCAGTATTGTTTGAGGGTCTATGGGACTTCTGGTTGACGACTTTGAAAGAGAGGGTCCATCCCTGACACTGGGGCTTTTACTTTGCTAGCTTATGGTGTTTAGTAGGGAAGAGTATCATATCATCTGCAAAAAGGGATAATCTGATCTCTTCTTTTCCAATTATTACTCCTTTAATTTCCTGCTCTTGTCTTACTGCTCTTGCAAGAGTTTCAAGCACTATGTTAAAGAGAAGTGGAGACAGTGGACAGCCTTGTCTGGTTCCTGATTTCAATGGGAATGCTTCCAGCTTTTCTCCATTTAGAATGATGTTGGCTGTGGGTTTGCTATATATGGCTTTAATGATGCTGAAGTATGTTCCCCCCAGTCCAGTTCTCTCTAGGACTTTGAACATAAACGCATGTTAAATTTTGTCAAAGGCCTTCTCTGCATCTGTTGAGATGACCATGTGTTTCTTGTCTTTGAGCCCATTTATATGATTTATGACATTTATTGACTTACGCATATTGAACCATCCCTGCATCTCTGGTATGAAGCTGAATTGATCATGGTGGATGATGTTTCTGATGTGTACCTCTATGTGGTTTGCAAGCTTTTGCATCTATGTTCATTAAGGATTTGGGTTTACAGTATTTTTTTTGGTTGTATCTTTACCTGGCTTTGGTATTAGAGTGATGCTGGCTTCATAGAAGGAATTTGGAAGTTCTCCCTCCATTTCAATCTTTTTGAATAAATTAAGTAGTATTGGATGTAGATCTCTTTAAATGTGTAGTAGAATTCTGCTGTAAATCCATCTGGTCCTGGGCTTTTCTTAGTCGGG